AATATGGAGTCCAGCTGTGTTTGATGCTGCTGGGCAGACTGACCACTGGGAACCTCTGAGCTCTGCTGGTCCACTCTGTGGAGGAATCATGAACAATTACATTACACTATCCACATACACATCCAGCCACGTAAAATGGTCACCTGGTTATTAATGTGTCATTTAACCTTTCAAATAAATTAGTCATGCTTGCTTACTCAAGTTGTGGCTAATCTCAGTTTAACACTTGTGATTTGTTTAAATTTAAAAATTTGCAGTGTGAAAGGGACAGTCCAAATGCAAATACAGACACTTGTCTCATGTGCAGAATCTATTTAGTTAGCTAGTCAAGCAATTGTAATTGCAAATGGACAGAATTAACCTTGTCTTAATGAGCGACTATGCAAACAGCGCTTCCTACACCTACAGACAATCAATCTTTTTTATACAATGCAATTAGGAGGTTATTCACAGCTGATATATTTTACATATTTTCTATATCGTTTCGTGGGATTGTGCAGTCAAAGCAACACCATCATATTATAACACTCTCAACCTGAATGTAGGGAAAACCACAACATATTTATATGAAACTGTAGTGTGTTATTTTCATAGTCTTTTGTGCATTATGTTCAGTTTTCTCCACCCCCTGCTCGTTAGTTGATTCCATTCACCTGCACCTTGTTTCCCAGCTGTCTCTTTCTCTAATTATCTCATGTGTATTTAAACCCTCATTTTTCTAAGTTCTTTGTCCTGTTGTACTGTTTGAGTCTCACATGCTTCCTGCTTGAAACCAGTTTTGAAACTTCTGTGAAACTTGCTGAATGAATGCCAATGATATGTTTCTTCCTTTAATAAAATTAATCACAAAAGATTTTTTTTTAGATTTCACTATTTTTTATCCTGTTTTTAAAAGTATGCAGCCCAGAGTATGTTACTAAAACTGGTGTTAAAGGCATTTCTAAGGGTTTCGTTTTAAACTGAGAAGCTTATCTGGGGTTTTAGAGATCTCGTTCTTTGCAAAATAAATTTTACTCAGCTAATTACCACTTTATGTTTAATGGTTGTAAATGCTCCATCTGCACTGATATGTTCATACTTTAGAGAAGTTCTGCCAGAAGATCATGGCTGTCATGACTACTTTTCATATGTTATATCTGACTTTTATGAACCTTTGAGTAATGTTTGGTATCTGAAGAACAAACTTGTGACTGTGTTGCTCAAACTGGAGTTCCTCTACCTGATTTCATGTCTCGCTGTTATGTGAAATAACACATACACTATGGCCTGGATTTGTATAGCGCCTTACTAGTCCCTAAGGACCCCAAAGTGCTTTACACGTTCAGTCATCCACCCATTCACACAGACATTCACACACACACTACACTAACACTGCTCTTCAGATTATTCTTTACCCTGAGGTGTTTTTAGTATACCGTAGATGCCTACTTACACCTCAGTACAGAGCAAACAGCCACTTAATGAGACGGTACTGATGGAAAACGTACCTCCTTCGTTTCCCTGGTTTTGAGGGTATAATGTTTTTCTTGAA